CAGTACTTTTTGTGGCCATTCAAATATTTTGTTTGATATTGCTGCAATTGATTCTTTCATTACCCTGTGAACTCTTTCAATCAACCCATTGGACTGTGGATAATAAATTGAACTTTTTCTGTGTTCTATTTTAAGCGATTTTAAAAATTGAGTAAATTCTGTGGAACAAAAATAGGAACCGTTGTCTGATAACAAAATTTTTGGAATGCCAAATCTGGCAAAATAATCATTTAAAGATTTTATGATGGATTGAGAAGTGCAGTTGTTTAACGGAACTGTTTCCAAATATCTGGAATAATGATCAATGATAGTGAGTACATAAAACTTATTATCTATGGATCTTGGCAGTTTACCAACTATGTCTATAGCTATCATCTCTCCAGGAGCAAGATCTTTCTTAGGAATTAGACGTGGCAGAGTGTTGTGAGGTCTAGACTTATTTTGTAAGCAATCTGAACAATTTTCTACAAAACTTTTCGTATCGCTGTACATACCTTTCCAATAATACTTTGCCTTTACAAACTCATATGTCTTTTGAATACCAAAGTGAGGCGCATGAACTGTCTGTAATACATCTTTAATTAATGCCTTAGGAATTAGAATTTTATTCTGGATACTTCTGTCTTTCTTTCTCATATTTACAGGTTTTAATTTTATCATTACTACATCTGTATGACTATCAATAAAATATTGTTCTACACTTTCTTTGTGGTTATCCTGTAATTTTTTTATAATTGATTTTATGTCTGGATCACTTTGCTGTTTACTAATTATGTTTTGAATAGACAAATTATCATTGGTCTTAAATATATTTACATTGTTTACCACTACATCCTCTGAAACTCTTGACAAGTAGTCTGCTGGGTTTTTTAAACCAGGAATATGCTCCATCGTGTATTGAAATTCCTGTAAATATAACAACCAGCGTGCTACAATATCTGGCTGTTTGTCAAGACTAATATGGAAAGTCAGAGGTTTAGCATCCGTTAATATTATAAATTTTTTCCCATACAGATGTTCGTGAAATTGCTTTACTGATCTGAAGATTGCATAAAGTTCTCTCCTAATTGAAGGATATCTAGCCTCAGCAGGTGTTAAAATTTTTGAGTAAAATTGTACTGGGAAAAACTTATCATCATTTTTTTGCATTAATATGCCACAAATGGCTGATCTAGAAGCATCGGTTACTAAATATAAAGGTTTATCATTTTCTATGTTTTTTTATTGTGGGTTTTTCTAAAATTAATTCTTGTATTTTATCTAATGCATTTTGGCATCTCTCGTTCCACACGAATGGTATATTCTTTCTTGTTTGTTAAATTTACTATTGGCTTGACAATTTCTGCATAATTAAAAATTAAGTGTCGAAAATAATTTACCATGCCTATGAATGTTTGAACCTCTTTCACATTTCTTGGCCTAGGAAATTTGGCTACTTTCTGAATATTCTCCTCTGAAGGAGCAAAACCATTCTTATTAACCGAAAAACCTAAATACGTAATCTCTTGTTTACATAACTGCAATTTGGCTGGGTCTAATGTTAAATTAAATTTTTTTAACTTGTCAAACACCTTTTGTAAAATAATTACTAGTTCATTTATACTGTTAGCTGCAACAATTATGTCATCTAGAAAATATTGTAAATTTGGACCCTGCAATTCACCTAAACATTTTGATATTAGAGTATGGAAATAAGCAGATGAATTTTTTGCACCAAAAGGTAACCGAGTTGGTTGAAAATTGCCAAGTTCCGTGCAAAAGGCTAATTTTTCTTTATCTTTCTGATCTAACTTTATTTGAAAAAATGCTGACTTAAGATCTAGCACACAATAATAACTTTTACCTGCTATATTATGCAAAATATCTGAAATCTTAGGTAGACATATTTGATATGATTCAGTTATGCAATTTAGCAATCTATAATCTACTGCCATTCTAAATTTTAATTTGCTAGGATCAGTATTAGGTGGTGCTTTCTTTTTGACAAAAATTACTGGAAAACTGTAACTCGATGTCGATGGCTCTATAATACCTGCTTCTAACAATTTGGCTATCTCCTCTTGGGCATATTTTTTAGCAATGCGAGGAATAGTGTATGGTCTAGTTTGAATTGGAAAGTTATGTAATAAATTAAATTGTGGCACGACAGCATCAGTCTCACCCAGAGTGGTGTAAGATTTTGAAAACACAGCTGAATTTTTCATGAGCATTTCAATCATCTTATTTTTTTGTTCTGCTTCTAAATGACTTAAATCAAAATCATCTGGGCTTAATTCCTCCTTTCTTAATTTTTTAATTTCTTTTAAAGTTATATGGTTAATCTGCAAATTTTGTTGCTCTCTAGGTTTTTCAAATTGTTTTTCTTCGACTTTATATACCTTACCAATCTTTTCACCCTTTCTTAGAATAATTGTGGAATTGGAATTGTTTTCAATTATGGTGAATATATATTGCCTGTCACTTATCTCATGAATTGAATCAGTCATACCTATCTTGCCCACTTTTCGCCTGTCTGGTGAGAACATTATTTGCTTTTCTTTCTGCATATTAATTGGAATGCTTAACTTTACTATCTCTGCTGTATTTGGCGCAATTCTGGTATTTCAATACTACTCTTACAATACCCGACTCCTCTGGTCTACTATTCTTGTCTACCTTTTTTGCATTAATATTAGTACAAGTTTTTTCTTTTGTCCAAAAGATCAAAATATGTGTTATCAATGATTAACTGACTTTTATCTGCATCTATAAGTATCTTATTTTTTTGAATGAAATCATACCCTAAAATCATTTGATAATTTGTGTTCCAATTATGTTGTGTAACAAAAAATTGGTTGGCAAGCCATTTATTTCCTAAACGAAATTTTAAGTTTACAGCAGATAAATATGGGATAGTAGCATTATTTAGCGTATGTATTCTTACAGATCTGCTTAAGTAATGAATCTTTGTATAATTTTTTATTACTTGCAAGGTGTCTGGCTGTATTAAGCTTAAATTTGCACCTGTATCAAGTAATGCTTCTACCACAAAGTCGCCAAATTTGATTTCTATTACTGGTAATTCTGTGATACTATTAGTCTGGCAAGAAGCTACCAATTTTTGTTCATTACTTTCTTTAATTTTGTGTCGGAATCTTTCATGTGTATTTGGCCTATTTGAGTTCCTTATTTTCTTAATTTTGTCTTGTTTCCCCCAAATTTTTTTTTATGGGCACTTGAGTAATACTTTGTGTATCTGGGAGATCTGCAAGTACCCTTCATTAGTTTAAATTATTTTTGTACGAGTATTGTATCTTCTGTATTGTGGCCTATTTCTATTACTGTTCTGTAGTCTATTACCTCGCGTGAAAGCATACTGACTATTATATCTATTCCTTCTATTGATAAAGTTACCCCTATAAAAAATTTCTTCTGTGGTTGTTTCTAGCCTGTCTATAATATTGAAAATTATTGTTTGAAGGAAAATAAGGACACTCTGTAGTCCAATGATTCTGTTGGCAAATATGACAAGACTCTCTATTATTACTACTTTGTGTAGCATTATTTTCTAGTCTAGTTACATTGTTTACACTACCATTAGGTAAAATTTCATTAAATTTTTTTGACAAATCCTCAATGGCTCTATTATTTTGCATTTGTTGCATAATTAATGTATTTAATTCAGGTGAAAAATCATGTGTCTGTGAGCTATTACCAGAATCCTCCAATGCTTTTTCTATGTTCTTTGCCTGTTTAACAGCAGTAGCAAAATCAACAGGTCCTAGTTTTTTAACCTCCAGTCTTAAATCTGGTCTGAGAGCTTCTAAGAATTTTGAAAGCATTGCTTTTTGAGTGAGGTTATGTACCTCTTCACTCGAACTAGGATAGCACCCAAAATATATTTTGTGGCATAAGTATTCACTTTTTCCGCTAAGTCCTCGACTGACTGATCTGGGGTCTGTCTAATTGAGTTAAAGTTATTTTGAATTGTGTCAAATGACTGAGATTTTGCAAATTTTTTACTTAGTAATGCTTTTTAAATCATCAAATGACATATCTTTACACGATTCATTATCAATTACAAATTTTTAATGCTTTACCCCTCAATTGAATTTTTAACACCAAACTTTTTCTGTTCTCATTCCAGTTCTCTAAATTTGCCATTTGGCATAACTGATCTAAAAAAAATGTTATATTTTCGTCATGCTCCCCTGAAAAAGTAGGCAGAGCAGTAGCCAGACTCATATTCATTACATTATTTTTCTTAGCCATTCTGAATCAATTTACTATACTTTAGTACCACTCTAAATTACTATTATTATTACTTCTAATGTATAGTACATTCATAAATACACTATTGTAACTTATCGAAATTTTTCACATGGATACAAGTTATTACATACTCATTACCACACAATATGATATACATTCAGGAATAATTTCTTAAATACTGACCAATTTTGAATTGATATTACCATTTTCACATATCTATTTTTTATCATTAAATTATTTCACATTAGCAGGAAACATAGTCATATGGAATTCTATATATTTTTTTTACATATGCAATTTTCAACTTAATCTTTCTTAATGATTCATATCAGATAATCACAAAATTTAAAATTTTATCCAATCATTACTAATATTCACCTATTTGATATCAGACATAATCACAAAATTCAAAATATTTAAGCAATTATCAATAGTATTCATACTGGAATCACATGTGTAGTTATATTTTTAGGCATAAGCATAAAATGGTTCTCTACCTGAAATCAAACAGTTAAAACTTAAATTTTTTTTTTTTTTTTTTTTTTTTTTTTGTCACGGCACCATAAGTGGTGCCTTTATTATTATTATCCTGGTCACGGCACCATAAATGTGGTGTTGCTGGCCGTGATCGTATTAAAGTAATTATACTAAGAGTATCAAATGCGAATTAATTTCGCGTAAATAGTAAACTAAAAATTTAGTGGTTAGTACATTGCATGATTATTAATAATAAGAATCAAATGACTTACCCAATAAGGCATGCATGAATCAGTATTTCTCTTTTAAATATACATTTATTAAATCACAAAAACACACATTTCTTGATTAACCTATATAAATCACAAAAATACTTTTCTTGATTAGCCTATATTCGATATGTTATAAGAAAAAAACACATTCATGAATGCCCTGCGGCATGTGCTACTCGTTAGTCCGACGGGACTGTCACAGCGTTCATTTTTACGGTATATTGCAATTCCTAATCTTGCTGCATCAAAAACACAGGACTTTAGATCGAGTACCGTGGACGATGGCGAGAGCTGTATGTGTGTGTGTGGCCCGAAGGCCCACACACTCGTTAACACGACGACAGGCAGAAAGAGAAAGACAAAACTAGTCCTTCCAGTTTTTATCCACTGCGATGCACGTGGCAGGGCGCGATAACAATTTAAGAATCGATACAGCCACCGTGTTCACTGTGAGAATTCTGTGTTCTCACAGACATCGGTTTCAAATAAGTTTAATCGTTTCTGAAACATGTTATACAAAAGCATGTTCAACGTGGCGTCCACCATTTTCCGAAAGCAAGTTAAATCGTGTTACTGCATTCTCAACAGCAACGGATATGTCGGTGCATCGCATCTTTCAATTCCGCCAAATTGTTTAGATTATCACCATAAACAGTGTTTTTGAGATAACCCCATAGCCAAAAGTCACAGGGGTTGAGGTCTGGTGACCGGATGACCAAGAAGTGGGCGGGTGTCGGCTTATAATACGTTCATGTGTGAAATGTTGCCTAAATAACTGTGTGACACATGTACCAATGTGCGGTGGGGCCCCATCCTGCATAAAAATCGTGGTGTCTAAAATGCCACGTTGCTGCAGTTCAGGTATCACGAAGCGTCTTAACGTTGACGCTAGAAGCGAGCTGCAGTTACAATGCATGTAAAGGTCCAACTGCGACTGCTCTTCAAAGAAAAATGGTCCAATTATGAAACTAGCTGTCATACCATACCAAGAGCTGACTTTAGGAGAATTCACTGAAACTGGGTAGATAATATTAGCGATTTGTAAGAAACAGATTTTCGGATTGCGCACACTTTTGCGAGAGATTTGCGATCTCACAATCTCTAATTTGTGGTTTTCACGGACGGATTTCTCAGCTACACGGATGGCGCACTCGACTTTTATCGCCTTTAAATGTTAATTTTGCTGAGGTCAATGCTTCTTAATGGTATACAACATGTTAAACCCGTGTAACGAAAGATTAGTTAGATTCCGACCCTTATTTCGTTTAACAACATTGCATACATTTCCCCCCTGGTGATGAGATTTTGAGCTTTTGTTTTCGCGAAAAATAAATTCCTATGACCTCCTTTACACGAGTACCAAGTTTGATGATATTTTATACAGTAGTTTTCCTTTTATGACCGTTTCAAAGTAGAACTTTAATTAAAACCACCCTGTATTTAAACTTCACTGTATGCGACATCCCGCTATCATATGTTATGTGCGCATGCGGTGTGATGATACTGTTGGTTTTTAGTAAGCTCCTGAATGTTTCTTTCTGTTTTAATATTTATACTTTTCAGTCCAAAGGAGCAATTTGCCCTGAAGAACTATTAATTTCGTTTTTGACATTTTGCGTCGAAAACTTTACAAGGCTGTATCACTTTTCAAATCGTTACCACCATATATTATCGTTCTGTCTTATATTTAAAGAAATTAAATAAGGAAGAATCCGCATAAATGTATGCATATTTCTCGCATTGTAATGAAACAACGGTACCTAGAGCCATCAAAATTTGAATAACGTAGTCTTCCGTAGAATATGGGAATGTGGAAGCCCTAATTTGAATTTGAAATTTGTTTTATTATCGATTTCAGATTTTGTAACACTTCAACGAATTTTTGATTAAATAACTAAACGATTTCAAAGCGAGTAATGGCAACACTGTACAAAAAAAAAAAAAAAAAAAAAAAAAAAATATCTCCAGCGCATGAGACTCTGTATCGGAAATTTTAAAGATATGCTCATTCTAAAATTAATTTGCAATATTGTTGTTGAACTGAATTTTATAGTTTGAGTACGTTAAACATGATATTAATAAATAAAGGTAACACAACGTTAAAAAAAGGTCCCTTTGGACGTAATTTAAAATCTGAAACCTTTTTATTTTTTATTTTTTTTAAGGTTGTAATTTTACACATACGTGTTCGTAACTATGCAACCATTGTTGTAACTGTTTATAGCGTTAGAATGAGACTTTATCTTGTATTTATTTAAGAATGAGTGAATGTTTATACATATGATACTTTTGAGATAGTGTTATTCTTTGAAAATAAATTTGCATATCTATTTTGTATTATGTCAATTGTGAAAATAACTTTATTAATCAGATCACTTAGTTATTTGATATACTTGCGTGTTATATTGTTTAAATTCCCATTTTTCTTGCTTAACCTACTAAGACTAAAGTGGAGGATTTGGTCCGATATATGTTATATCATTTAAGGGAACGATTTTCCTAACTTTCAAGATATTAATTTTCTCCTGGCCAGTTACGCGGACGACACGGCTCCTGTTTGGAAGTCACGTTGCCCCGACCATGCATTGATCAAACTCCAAGAAAAGATCCCAATGATTAAGGACCGGTGTAGCCGCTGGAAAACCAGCATACAGCCCACCAGATCCAAGATTCTACTCATCAAGAAGTATCGGAAAAGAGCGAAAATCAGTCACACTCTTCGGCCGTCCTGTCCCAAGAGTCAGCAAGGCAAATTATCTTGGAGTCACACTCAATCATAACTTTACATGGAAAGATCATATGGCACAGGTTTGTGGAAAATCATACAGAATCATCTTTCAGTTGTTCTCCCTGCTCAAAAGTGAGAAGCTTTCTCTTCTTCTTCTGAAAAGACTTTTGCTTTCGACCATCTGGCCGATTTTGACTTATGCCTCCTCCGCCCGGGCTAATGTTAATGGAAAGGACTACAAGAGATTTCAAGTCGTCCAGAACAAGTTTCTGAGAATTATAACTGGTACACCCTACTTCGTTAGAAATAGAAGCCTCCACTCCGACTTAAAGTTAGAATCCATCAAGGAATATACAACTAGAATTAATGATAAGTTTTTTACTACATCGATTAGTAATAATCCTGCTAACTTCTCGGAAACTGAAAACTACGAGATTCTTTTCATACGCCCTTTCACCGCCTACCTCATTTGCATGAATCAAGCGGACCAATGAGAGAATAGATTGACCCCCTGGACTCGGCGAAAATGTATTTTCATATTTTATGCTCTATGGAATACTTCTGATGTAACCAACACAAAGAACGAATTTTTATAAACATTTTTAGTGGTTACTTTCTATATTTTGGACATTTCTTCCAGTATTCATGTGCGAAATGCTATTTCTGCCTTTTGAACTCTGGACTTCGCAACTGCCGCTGATCGGCTAGGTAGCCCCCAGATGCCTACAAATTCACAGATATTTATTCCCGCTCTTTAAGAGCTGACTGTCTGTTGTATATAATATAAATAGTGAACTTTTACTTGATTTTACTTTTGTTTGTATCCTGTATGTTTTACTTTGTACAGTAGTTGGCAAATTAGGATATTCGGTCTCGCCACCACCACCAGTCTCATGCGTTGCTTTCAAAACAGCAAAGCAATGGGCGAAGCGAAGCGAAGCAGCGGTATAATTCTTATATCACTCTTCAATTCTACCTCGTATGAAGAACTCTTATCTTCGAACTTCATCATATGTCAGGCCCAGTCGGGATTCTTTGAGGATATTGGCAAGAGCAGGAACGAATCATCCTGATGAATGATAGGTAAAACACCAAAGTATCACAGTCGAATCTGCGCAATTCATTTTTTCTTTAAAGATCAGATCGCTATGCACATGGAAGAACAACAGTTTCTTTCTCTTCGTGTACACAGCGATACGTTTTCGCTTAAAAAAAGTCAGATAATCACACACATACATCGAGCAAATTATGCATTACATATATTATATTCATTATACTATATAAGAGAATTATATATATATATGTGTGTGTGTGTGTGTGTGTGTGTGTAAAATATTAAAAAAAAAAAAAAATACGATGGCTTTGCTCTACGCGAACACGCAACCTCCAAATAACTTTCAGCAATTTAAGATGTTCCCCCCCCCAAAACCTGTACCTTCTAGAATATACTAGCCTATTACGTAACCGCTACTATAAATACTGAGTATGCGCCATTTTTCAGTCATACTGCTTCCTAATACGGCTGCTACAAGACTCTGCGCTGCTCTGTCCATCTTTCCCTTCCTTTGTTAGAAATAATGATGACGCAGAAAGTTTAAATTCAATCATACTTAGTTAAAATCACTATTGATATGTAATTTAGAGAGTTTTATCTAAAAGGAAAATGATCTGCTAATTGGATTAAATAAAAATGGGCAGTTAAAAGCTAAATCAATTTGTCTCGTCATTTGGATTCCGCTTACCGCTCTGCAAAAGCAATTCCTGAACTTTGATGCCAAGCTTCACCACGACTGCTAAAATATCACACACACACACACACACACGTGCATTACGTTCATTGTCCATAATATAAATGTGTATATTATAATGTGCATCGCCCATATTATGAATGACTTATATGTATTATATTCATTAACAAACATTCTCTATTCGTATAAAGCAAATTTAAAGTTAATAGAAATTTAAATTATGAAATTTTAATTGCATACAAATAAATGATTATATATAAAATAGTTACTCCTTTCATGAAGTTTTACGAGTTGTAAGGGTTTGCAGCCATCTAGTTAGATTTCGCGCCAGCGTGTATGTTTGCCGTTAAGTAGCACCACGTTAATAGAAAATTGTTTGCCGTTAAGTAGCACCACGTTAATAGAAAATTGTTTGCCGTTAAATATGTTTGCTGTTAAGTAGCACCACGTTAATAGAAAATTGCCAAAATTTTCTTATATATATATATATATATATGTAAATATAATATATATATTATATATTTATATATATGTGTAAATATAATATATATATATATATATATATATATAAAGCAATCCATTTTTTTATCTGATCAGATAGACCGAACCCAATTTCACTGTTTTTATTAATCTTCATAAATTCTTTTCCTAGGAGAAAATCCAAAAACCACTTTAATAAATACCTTCATTACCCTGCTTAAAAAATCCTTAACCGACATTAATTTTCGCAATCATTGGCTGTAGTCATATATTTCCAACTACAGAAGCGTTTTAAATAACGGAAATATTCATGCTTTGCCTTTAAAAAAGAATTTTCGACAAATAACGAATTCTAATTTTTAATGCGATTTCCTAGTTCTTATATTTATGTTTGGAAAAGTTTTATACTTGTTATGAAAAATAAAATAATAAGAAATTTGACTCCCGTAC